AATTTTGATATACACATCAATTAATATCTAAAGAATAATCATACGATTCTTTTACGTCGCTATATTCAAACATTACCTGAACAAATAAAAGAATTTAAAAATGTAAGACAAAAAATTTAGTAAATAAAAGTAACAATTCTAGTTTACAAAAATTTTTTGTAAATAAATTTCATCTTAAAGAAAAAACAAAAGTAAATATTTGTCGCATGATCCTGATAAAAAAGAATAAATAGATAAGATATCGTTTGAATCGTTTATGTCATTATTCTAAAGAATAAGAAGACAACAGTAATATAATAGAAATTTCGTAATGGCAACAAGAAAAAATCAACAATTTGGTCAAACTTATGAAAATGTATGTAAAAAAGAAAACGTATTCTTCAATTATATTCATAATCAAATTATTTTTATAGGCAAATCCAAATCAAAAGTAAATAGTACGATTCCTATCAATTTTAATTATATAGATATTACTGAAATTCTAGCGATAATTATTATAGTATGGCACCTACTCAGCGTACTACACAACGTTCATCAAGTAGTTATTTGTTTGTTAGTTGATACTATTATTATTTATTTATTTCTAGTTGTTGGACCTGTTGATATGTCTGAAATTAAAAAATCATTGATTCGAGTATAAAGCAACGAATTTTTCTTAACTTTTAAATATTTTTTTTATATTAGAATAAGGGTTTTGAATATCAATTGATGCCAGTTGAAATCGAAAAAGTTTGATAATTTTTATGTGTTTAAAAAGTATTTTATATTTATGCATTTAGGATGCAGAACTTGGAGTTGTTCTTGGTCAAATTGAAGGTGAAAAATGGATATTTATTGATGAAATTTTACCAAATGGAATGATTGAGATGCATGGTAAAATTCATTAGAAAACTCACACAGCATTTTTATACTGAATCAGACATTTTCTAAAAAAGATCTTTAAAAAGAACATATCTTGATATAATAGACTCCTGGACTAAAATCTATTTCAAATTTTTAATATCAACTATACAGTTGAAGATATTCATTTGAGTTTTTTAAGAAAGAAATTTTAATAACATTTATTTACATATGAATTCATTTTTGTAGGTACACTTAAAGAAGGTGATTATTTATTACAAGCAGGAGTTTACAGTCTTACGGATATTGATATTACTACAGCTTTACTACTTGTTGAACGTGCATATGAAGAAGGACGAAAGACTGTTTCATTTGTTGCTGCTCGTCAACAAAAAGCAGATACTGCAAAAGGTAACGCCAACGCTGCTGTTTCTAAACAACAACAACAACCGCCACCAGCTTATGAAGAACAGCGTAAAGAAGCGAGAGCACAATCATTTGTTGATTATGAAAATGCAGAAGAAGAAGAATATAAGGATGATGGTAAAGATGTTCAAAACAAACCCAAAGGCAAGGCACTTCATTCAAATCGAAGAACTAAACCAGACGATACACAATTCTAAGATAAAATATATCAAATTTAATTGAACATAATAAACACTATTATTAACAGAAATTAATTCTTTTTCAATATCACGCCAATCATATACAAGAAAATTTTTCTCAATTTCATTCATAACAATTAATATACCATGAGGAAAATTTGCATTTAATGAATTACTTGTTGCTTCTATACCATCTGTATTAACAGCACGTGTTTTTATTGATTTTATATAAGAATTTGTTCCTTGACGTTCATATATATGAAATATAGTTCCATGTTCTAATTGATCTGTTATTATTAAATATCCATTTTTATCTGATGTTGTATATAAAGCAAGTCCTTCGGAATCACCTTGCCATATATTAGTTGTATTGATAAAACTAATTTGTTCATTTTGATCTGTGTTTGGATCAACATTATATTTACGAATACCATATCCTTCATCAGAATAATATATAAATCCAAGTTGATCATCAACTACAATTGATTCAATTTCTGATCCTTGAGAATTACCAAAATAACGAATAAATTTTAAATCTATTGAGTCTCTATTCCATATTAATTCATATTGACCGAGATAATCTTGTCTAGGACCAGATTTTCGACTGACAATAGCATAAATTTTCTTATCATCTGCTCGTTTATATAAACCAATACCCATTGGTGCTGCTTCATGTCCATTACTATCAATAAATACATAAGTATTTGATCCAGTTATTTCATATAACTGACGTGAACGAATATTAACTGAAAAAATACGTAAACGTTGTTTTTTACGCTCTGTAACAACAACTACATCTATAGAATATGTTTCATTTATTTTAAAACCGTATTCAACATCAACATTATTAGGTCGATCAAGATTTGAAATATGTTGAATAATTTTACCATTCAAATCAAAAACATATAGTCCACCTATTCGGGCTGTTTTATCTGTACCAATAATAAGACTAAGTTCAACTTGATTTGGATGAATCCATATAGCTGGATCATCAGGATCGGTTTGCACAGATTGAGTTGCAATAGTTTCTTTGATAAATGGGAACGATTGACTATTAATTAAACTATGTCCAAAACAAGCATTGACGTATAAAACAAATGATATTATAAGAAAGAACATGATCTATTTGATAAAAGAATATAAATGTAAGTAAAGTAATAAATAACACGATATTTTAGATACAGAAATGAGTATCAGAATATATTCAATTAATACTCGAAAATCTATATTTTATTTATTTAAATAATGCACATCTTTAAGCAAGAATTTCGTTATGATGACTTTATAGTCGATACAGTTTTATCTTAATAAAAAGGTTAATTGACTCAATAGACATTGACGGTATTATTAGAAATCAGAGATTAACTGTTTTTTCAAGGTTTATAGACATGAAATGACAAACCGTGATATGATTAATATGATAAATATCAATGTACTAACTAAACCTTATATAATAGACAAATAATATATCAACTGATGAAAACTCATGGACTATTCTAAATTACAATTATTAAGAAAACTATATAGTTTTATGTAATTTATTATTATATCCATTAATTAGAAGTATTTTTACTTTCTGACAACTACATGTCAAAAATGATTTTGAAGATCATTAAATTACATAACAAGAAATGAACTTCAAATATTAAATGATATGTCTTTCTTCGAGATATTTTTTTGATACATACATTAATTTGTGCTAATGGCAAATAAGCATAATATACAATTATACTTGCCATCAGGCAAACCGTTCTAGTTATTCTCCTTAATATCTTATCAACAACAACAACAATAATCTCGATCGAATGTCATGCTTATGTGAAGCACAACAGATAAATCTTTATATATATATATACACGTACATATCACAACCAGCCATAATGGAAATGCGCAACTTCCATTTTCTTTTAGATCTTTCCGTATAAAAATATTGCATAGATATATACGGAATAACCAAACAACTGTTTAGCTCTTTTTGGTCTCGGCAGAAAGCCTAATTTAACCCCTACTGCTACATATCTCTACAACCTACAGAAAAGAAAAGAAAGGAAAAAAAATGTTTATATATAGAAAGAGAAAAAAAAGATGGAATAATAATAATACGTCGATAACTTCCTTCTTTAGATCTAGTATAATAATCTATTGCTGTTCTGTTATTTTTTGGCTATTACTATTTCTATATTACATTAGAACGATGTCCTCGATGCGTGGCGGTCATCAATATCCACAAGGATCAAGACCTAATGATCAACCTATGAACTATGTAAACAATCAAACAAATCAAAATTATTCAATCCCACAAAATCTTTATGTTGAACGTCGTTCAACAAATCCTGCATTAACTACACCAGTAAATCGAACACAATATCATAATACAAATACTTCGAATACATCAATTCCACAAAATCTTTACGTTGAACGACGTTCAACAAATCCAGTACCAATGACTCAATATAATCAACCGCAATATGTTGAACCAAAGAATCCAAATCTTGGCTTTCAAAATGCTCGTGCTATTCAATCTCAAGCATCAGGTATGTACCATCAGAAAAGTTCTGGAACACCATCAAGAAATGTAAATTCAGCATTAACAATAAATCCATCTGTACCATCACAATCACCATATGCAACACATGGCAGAGAAAGTGCTTTCGCTAAAAAAGAAACATTTGGAGAAATTGATGATTCACCAATAATTGATCCAAGTGCATTTCGTTATTTAAATTTGACTGATAAAACACCACCAAAGAAAACATCTTCAGCTGCGAATGATAGTGGCATTGATTCACGACCCATCATTAATCTTGATGCAGTTACACAATTAGAAAAACGTCGACAGCAACAAATTGAAAAGAATAATCGATTACGTGGTGATGATGGCACAGGATCAGGTATTGATGGAAGACCAATTGTTGATGCTAACGCATTTCGTCATATTGAAGCAAAGAAAATTAACAATAAAGATAACGAACAACAAGGTCAAGGTGTTGGTAGTGGAATTGATGATAGACCAATAACTAATCCTGGTGCCTTCAAGTAACTTTCTCTTTTTATAAAAATGAAAAGTATTATTATATTCATTTTTTTTGAAGATATTTGGAAAATAAACGTGAAAATAAACAAGGAAATACTTCGAATGAATCTGCTATTGATACTCGACCAATAATAAATCCTGATGCATTTAAATATTTAGAAAAACGACGAGAAACTGCAGTAAAAGGTAATGATGAAAGTGGTATCGATTATAAACCAATTGTTAATCCGGATGCTTTTCGTTATTTGGAACAACGTGCTACTCCACCTCGTCGTAATATTGAATCAGGTATTGATACAACACCAATCGTTAATCCAAATGCATTTCAATATATTGAACGGAAAGATCCAATAAGATCAGAAATAATTGAATCATCTATTGATTATCGTCCTATTGTTAATCCTAAAGCATTTAAATGGATTGAGAAAAAAGATGCCAAACCTCGTATTGATGATGGACCTGATGTTGACGAACGTTCTTATATTAATCCAGAATCTTTTCATGCAATTGATCGTCGTCCAGGAAAACAAAGTGATGTATGTGAATCAGAAATTGATACACGTAGTTTTATACTTGATAAAAATCCAAAAGCTCTTGCTCATCTTGAACGTCAATCATCATATCCAATAAATGATAAAGTAGAAAGCGGCGGCATTGATCAACGATCTTATGTTAATCCAAATGCTTTTAAATATCTTGAAGGTAGTCGTGAAGATTCACCTAAAATTACTGTACATACATCAAGTGGTCCAACAATTGATACAAAATCTTATGTAAATCCAGATTCATTTCGTCATCTTGAAGGTCGAGAAAGACCAAGAACAAATGATGATAATAATGAAGGAATTGATCAAACATCATTTGTACCAACAGCAGCTTTTCGTCATTTAGAATTTTCAGGTGAACGTACAAATAATGAACAAAATGATAATTCACCATATGGACACACAGACCTTTAAAAACTTTCTTTTCTTTGAAAATAATTATTCTCCTTTTTTTTTAAACCTTTTACTGTGAATTATTTATCTCATAATAATAAATTGATATTCAATATTAAAATTTCTATAAAAAGAAATCGTGGGCTCGAATGCTTAATAATATTTTTTTTCATTGACCTTCACAATTGATATTAGCCAAATAATATTCTTCATGAGACAATGATACAATTATACACATAAGAAGTACGCGCTATAACCTTTTACACTATATTGTATTGACTATGAGCGACATCATCCTATCGATTCTACTTTAGATGTAAACAACATCCTAATTATAACTCATACTTTTATTCTCATTATCAAACAATTATCATTTTTCTGTTAATTAACATTTGAAATTAGCAATATCTTGCTTGTTTCCATGTCAACAAACATATAAAATGGTTGTTACATATATGACGTTATTTGAACGATACTTTTATTTGTATTACTAAACCAAAATATTTGTATATACTTTTTTTCTATTTTAGCTTAAATTTTTAGAATGAGTAATCATAGTGGTGATGAAGAAGAACTATCTCAGGATGAAGAAGAAAATCTTCCACAAAATGAAGTAGATTTCAATGAGCAACAACAAAATGCGTTTGTCACAGATGATACATATGTTCATTCATCAACTCATCAACAGTATGACGATATTGAACCAATTGAAGCTCGGCCACCCAATGAAATTGATACTGATGAACAAACAACACATCAATCTGGTATACCAGCTTTTCGTACACTTGATGAGGTATGAATATAAACATTAAAAAAAAAAAGATTTCTATTCTCAATTATTTCGTTTTCAGTTATTCAAAGAAGGAACAATTACTGGTACACAAATGGCATTACTTAAATCGAGATATGTTGACTTGCAGAATGCTTTAGCACAGTATTAAAAAGAAACTTTGCTATGAAATATAGACAAAATTTATTTTTTGTATTAATTTAGATCACGTGAAGCGGAAAATCGATTACGACATGAAGAACATGGATATTTAGCTCAGATTGAAAAACAAAAACGTGTTTTAGAAGAAGGTGAATCGTTTCCCGATAAGATTACAAATGAAATTCAACAAAGACGAAAAGATTTACTTAAATATACGAATGATTTAGCATGTACTGAAGAACGTTTATTTGATATGGATTATAAAATAAAAGCGTAAGTTTTTTAATAATTTTTTGCGTTAATATAAAAAACTGAATTATTTAGTTTGGAAGAAGATAAACGTTCGTTAGAAAATGAAAAAGCTCGAATACCAAATCAACATGAAATTGATGAAAAAATGAAAACTTTACGTCAAGAATGTGATGATTTAAGACGACAAATTGCTCAGAAAAAATCAGAAATTAAAGATCAAAATGTTTTATTAGGAGATAAAAGAAAAAAATTTGGTAATACAACTAAACAACATGAAGAACTTATGAATACAATTCAGATATTAGAAGTAATTAGATTTTTTTTCGTTTATTTTATATTCCTCTATTTTTATTTCAAAGGCTGAACATCTTCAAGTAACACGTCGACCAGGTGAATTACTTAAAATAATTGATGGTCTTAATCTTCAACGAGAGTATGTATTTCGTTTTTCTTGAAAATTTAAGTTCCTTTAGAGAATAATTATCGACTCTTGTAGATTTTAGAAGATAAAGTTAAGCGTCTGTATAAATTTGCTGATTTGCTGCTCTATATTTTTTTCTTCAAAATTAAATTATTATTTATCTCATTTTTGTTTCTTCTATTCATAGTCAAACTGACCAAGAGGCTGAAGAACTCGAAGCAAAAATTAAAGAACAAGATGGCAATCTTCTACAACTTTTAGATGATATCAACAAAATGAAAAATTTAACATCAAAAGAAATCAAATCAGTTGATCTACAAAATCAACAAAATGAAAGATTAAATGATGAAATTAGAAATGTATTAAATTTAATTGCATTTGAAGATGCAAAATTAATTAAAGGACAAATAGACGAGTAAGAGAAGAAATTCTTATTCAGAAATAATTATATATATATATGTTTTATAGACGTCAATCAACAGAAGCTGTTAAAAGTACAGTACAAATGACAAAACAAATTCGTGAACAACATGCAAAAGTTCAAAAACAAAAAGAAAGATTATTAAGAGAATTAAAACGTGTTGAAAATCAATATAATATCGCAAATGATGAATTAGGAAGTATGCGTATGACAATAGATAAATTAAATCTTCAAGTAAGTTTCGATTAAATGAAGAAAAATGTACTTAGTTCAACATATATTATCAAATTCGGTGGTCAAGTTAAGTGTACTCCAAATTTGGAGTTTACGGATGTCGAAGTTTTCGCGAAAGACTCTACCTGAAAACTGTAATCATCTGTTTTTGATTGCTCTGATAGATATTCTGGACTGTGCTGAATCAACCGGTGATACTCGAAAAAAAAACGTACAGTTAAAAGCTACAATATGTCGAAAAATCTGAAACTCGTAAACTTCTAATTTGACAGACTTTAGTAATAATATTTAAATGACAAGAAAACTGCAATATACAAGTAATGCTCATCCGAGGACACGCTTAGCTCTTTCTCGTAGAAATACATCCTCTTCATGTTTACTGGAAAAACAATTGAAAATAGGTTTTCGATGTTTTTTTGACCTTTGCCCCCTCTCACTCTTGCCACCCAACAAATCTTAAATTCGAACTCCCCGTATTGAAATACCTCAAGAAATGTCTTTTCCAGAAAATCGGTTTTCGATGTTTTTTTGACCCTATGGACAGACAAGCAGACAATTTATGTTTCCAAGACCCTTCTCTATGAAAAAGAGAATAAGACCTTATTAGTCAGCAAAATCTGTCATTGATCTCTCTGTATATAATATTTGTCAGATTTCTCATGGAGTCTAGTTTTATAGATATTTAATCGCGATAACTTCACACAAAGATTTTTTTATGTACACTCATCGATAGATAGAAACTAGCTTTGTATATAACTTTGAAATAAATAAGAAAATGATTGTTTATATTTTAGCGAACAGCATTACCAGTGGATGATCCTGCACCTAAACAGGCAGCAGAGCATTTAAAAGAAGAAATTCATGATATACGAGAAGATGCTGAAAAACACGTATGAATCTATTTTCTATTGACTTAATAATAAAAATAATATTTAGGAAAAAGAATTACTTGTTAAACAAAGTACATTAACAACTGCACAAAAAGATCAACAAGAAGTACAATTAAGACAAGATAATTGTCGTCGTGATGCTATATCAATGGCACATTTTGCATCCGTTGTTTCCAATGAACGTGAACAAAAATGTCGTGAAAAAATGAAAGCAAAACATCGTTTAGAATCTGTTATAGAAGATTTACAGCGAAAAAATGGTGAAATTTATGAACATAAAAAACGTATTGATGATTTAGAAATTCAAAAAAAAGAATCCGCAGGAATGTATGAAATAGTTAAAGGTGAACGTAATAAATGTGTCAATGCAATACAAGTTAATACACAAAAATCAAATGAAATGAAAGAAAAAACTAAATTACTTGAAAATGAAATTGAAATTTTACGAACAAAATTAATTATTTTAGAAAAAGATGTACAAAAGAAAAAACTACTTGTTGCTGGATCAATTGTTGAACGTGATAGAGAAAAACATAAAGTTGAAAAACAACGTATTTATTTAACTGAACTTACTGCACAAGGAAAACAACAAACATCAGAAAATGTAAATTACAGTAATTTAATTGCATTGGTTGAAAAAGAATTAGGCCAATTAAGAAAAGATTATGATACATCGGTTCTAGACAGAAATGAACGAAGTGTACAACTTGTTGAAAGATATAATGAAGAAGTTGTTTTTCAAGTTTGTAGTTTCTTAAATTGTAAATTGTAAAATAAGAAATTTTTCTTTTAGGAAAAAGTTAATGTACAAGATACAAAATTAAAGAATGCTTATGTTGAATTACGAAGTCGAGATGATGAAATTCGAATATTAGAATTACAAATTCAAGAAGAAAAACGTGATATCGCCATATCGAAAAAGAAATTACCTATTAAAAGATCATTGAATGAAGAACTTAAATTATATAGAATATGTGTAAGTTAATCTAGATAGGAGAAATGAATAATAAAACATTTCTTATCTATTTTATAGCTTGAAGCATGTCAAGAACGTTTAGTTGAACTTGAAAAAATGCTTGAAAATCCAAATGATCCAGCACGTGTACGTTTTCTTGATGGTGTTGATGAATCACCTGCATCGATCATGAAAAAACTTGAACAAGTAATTGATTTCTTTTTGAAAATAATCATTTCTAATCAATTTTCTTTAGCTTGAACAACGTTTATCAATAAAAGAAGAACAATCACTTGAAAAAGATCTTATTCTTGAACAAGTCCATCGATTAATTGAACGTTTATCAACAAAAGCTGATGCTGGAAAAGATGATACATTAGCATTAGCAAAAAAAGTCAATGATTTACAAAGTAAAATTAAAGATATCACACGTAAAATGATGGCAACTTTATCTGAATTAACTATACATCAATCGGATGCATTAAAATTACAACAAGAAAAAAATGTCAAAGATGTTGAACTACAACAATTTTATGCACGAATGGAACAAGTTCGTTTAGTTTTTTTTATTTAGAGTGAAATTTATTTTATTTTTTTAGGGAGAACCTCCAAGTGAAGAACTTGAACAAGAGTGGCAACGTACAAATGAAATTGAATATAGACGAAAAATGGAACGAAGAATTCGTGAAGATGTTCGTTTATATTTTTAGTTTTCCTATTTATTCATTGATGTTTTTTTTATAGCAAGAACGTGAAACTGAACATCATTTGTTACCAGGCGGCGTAATGACACATGCTCAACCACGTCCTCAAGCTTATGCTCCAAGTGATGATGCAGAAATTCAAATATCTAAGCCATATGGTTCACGTGCGCCATTTAAACCAAGGTAGAATAAAGACTTTTGTTTTTTGATAAGAAAATAAAATTGTATTTTCGTTTATTCTAGTGAACCCGGTGCTAATATGCGTCACATTCGAAAACCAAATCCAAAACCAATTGAAATTTAATGCAAAACAAAGAGTTTTTGTACAAATAGTAGTGATATTGAGCTTAATTCGTATTTTTTATCATGTATCAAGTTTATTATTCTTTTGAATGTTTTATTGAGCTTAAACGAACAATTTAATAAACTTAACCGACATTTCAGTCAATTGAAAATTTAATTTTTATATTTTATATCGTCTTTTTAACTTTTATTCAACTTCTTATATGCTAAAATATGTGATAACTTAAAAGAATGATGTTTCGTATTCTAATTTTATTTTCTACCAGTCATTGTGAGACTTTCATATCGTCTCGTATGTAATAAACTAATTGTAGACGTTTGAAATGCATTCAGATGAGGTCATTGCTAGACGTTTTCGTCGATATATATCGTACAGCATGTCTTCCATGTGTTATAAACGAATACTTCCACTATATATTACTTCTCGGTAAGTAGTGAGGCAAGGTTCTGGCCTTGTCTCCAATGCATGAAGAAATGAAGGACACATTCGTCACAGTCGCGATTGTGCTCTCCTACTACTATGCTCTTTTCTTTTGTTCTGCCAATATACTTTCCTTGGTTTCTTGTATGTGATGTCGTTTTCTATGTAATATCACGATAGCTGTAGTGATGAAGTAATAGTTGGGTACTTTAACATATAAACTAAGAGCAGAGATAATAAAATAAACATATAGACATTTACTTAATCATACATTTCTAGGCTGCATTACATACAAAATGTGTCTTGTCATTCAGGTAAAAGAAAAACCCAATCTTGTTAAAATTATCAATTTTTTCGTAAATCATATATTTTAGAGACCAAGCAATAAAACAAAATACTTTTGTTTATTTAGTAATGCAAAATTGATCAAAGGTATTCCTTGCACTCTCGTTCTCCCTTCCGAATGTGAGTATTTATGAGAATGAGAAAACAACTTCCGAGTGCATTCATGTATTTTTGATACAAATTTAGGCAAAGGACCAAATAATGTCATTCATTGGTTAATGCATCAATAAGATGCTAATTAATCCATAAAAAACTTTCATGAAAGTTTCAGAAAACAATATTTTATTGATCAGAAATAGTATTCTCCTAGTAATAACGATTAACTTGTTGACCCCGTAAACTCTTTTCCTTAACAGTTAATAAATACCAGTACATATTTACATTTTATTAGGAGAATGATTCAGAAATTTTACATAACGATACAATTCGTCTTGTTCGAAATATTCTAAGAATTAATTATATCTATTTGATACCAAATCTTACACTGAACGATGAAATATTGATTCGTAGAATAGATATAATTGAAATAAAAAAATTTCATCTTTACTTTTGCATTTATTCTTCTTTATATTAATAGATTTTTTCTTTTATACGATGCGTATGATATTAACGAAAAAGTAAGATTATTTAATTTATACAAGATATATAATTTTCTCGAATGGCTGCTGGTACAACAAAAGACTTTGATGATAAATTGTGTTGTTCATGTGCACCAAAGAAAACAGTAGCTATTACATCATGTCATGGATGTTATCATCATTTTTGTAATAAACATTTTAATGAACATCGAAATCAACTATCAAAAAATCTTAATATTATTGTTGATCAACACGATGAAATTCTTCAAGATCTTAAAATAAGAATTGATCATTCAGTTCGAAATCAATTAGATAATGAAGATGCTCAAAATCTATTACGACAAATTCATGAATGGGAAGATCGAACGATTAATTCATGTCGTCATGTTGCTGATGATGTTCGTACTTCAGTTAAACAATCATTTGATCAAACACGGGTGAATAATTCTCTTACTGAACGACTTCTATTTGTAGCGAAAGAATTAGAAGAACAACAACATACAGAAAATTTTGTTGAACGTGATCTTAGTCGATGGATGAAATTATTACAAAATTTACGAGATGATATTCATCAACCTGTAAGATATCCAACTGCTCTTACGATGGAAACACAAGATATAGATTGGAAAACAGTCATCAAGATATCTCAATTATCAACTACTACGAATCCTACTACTAATACAAATGGTGAATATTATGTGTTAGTTGCTGGTGAAAAAGGAGCGGGTTTGTAAAACGAACAATAGATTTTTCAAAATAATCCTATAAAATCATTTTCATTTAGGTAAAACAACATTTATTCATTATGTTGCAAATTTTTTTGCAAATAGATCTGCATATCGTCATCGTTTTCCACAAACAAAAATTATACCTGATCGAAAAGAAATAATTATAAATTCTCCTCGTTTAAAACAAAAATTTATCTTTGATCGATATTCTTTCTTAATTGATAGTCAACATACTCTTGTATTTCTTGATCCTTTAAGAAATATTGATGGTGAAGATGTATATGTAATAATAGATTCTTTATGTAATTTATGTGGAATTAGTCATTTTGCTGCGCTTGTAGTCATATCCGATGGTACAGATATAGAAGAAGCTCCAGATTGGAACGACTTAATAAGTCATTTACAAGAATTAGAAAAATTTCGTGAATTTAGAATACCAATCAAACAAATTTCGCTCGTTTGGACGAATGCACCAGGGCATGCAATGAGTTTTAATCGTAGAAAATTTAGTATTCCAGACAATACAAACTTCTATTTTATGCAAAATTCAGGATATCAATTGTTCAAATCATGTGCTGCAATAGATTCTGTCGAGCCGGATTTTCATACTTCTATGGAAACTATGAAAATAATTATTGAAAAAGTCGTTCACGGAATTCAACAAGGAATGTAAAAGCATATAAATTATTAATAGTTTTATTTTATTACAAAATGTTGTTTTTTTTTAACAATTTTTATATCGCTAATAAATTCATTTCAATATGAACAAATCATTTATTAACTGATTCTCATAGAGTTTATTTAGACAATATTTATTAGTAAAATCTAAATGTATATATTAAATAGACTTGATAACCTTTGTTAAAAAATGTTATGTAAAAATTATTTACAAATCTTTTTCTCAATGTAAAGAAACAGTTAAACGTACTTTTTAAGGTCATCAACATTTCGGTTGCAGAAGGTCTTTTATTTAATTTGGGTACAATGACATTCTCGGCAGAATATTACCGCCTACTTAATCTAATAATTACTACATTGTACTTTCCATTTTCAGGTCAATGATTTGTATATACGAACAAATTATCTTTCACATATTATAAACGATCATTAATTAAGCTTATTCTTCTTTTTTGATGATATCGATCACGTAACGATTCATGTCTGTATCCTTTCTGTAAACAGATGTTCAATGAGAGACAATAAACAGGCGTTTGCATCATTTAACATATTTAATGTGTTATATATAAGTCTTATCTTTTCTTTTCCTCTCCTCTCGTTTGTCTAGATTAACATTGTATGTATAACAACGTTTGACTATTATGTGGTGGTCAAAAGCAAAATATCGAAGTCGATCTTTAATAATATTTACGTTTATATTTTTTACATTGAAAATTTCAACTACTGATGCTGCCCGACGGGTAAATTTTCGAAATCTTTTAACTTAATTTTATTATATTGTATTGTTTTGAAAATTTAGATAAAATTATGTCCTGTTATGGAATTGCCTAAACATGGTTTTTTCTTTTCGGGTTATTGTAAACATACACCAGGTTCATTATGCGGTCTTGGATGTTTAACTGGCTATCGTCTTGTGAATGGAGACAGTTTTCGTGAATGTCGTCAAGATGGAACATGGACTGGACGTCAACCTAAATGCGAAGGTAAATTAAATAATTGAAATCAATATAAGGACACACTTCTTCTTCTTTTTTTAGAAATTCGTTGTCCTCAATTGAAAGTTCATTCTCGAATAATTCAAGAATGTTTACCTAAACAAAATAATACTCAACTTCGATTTGGTACTCAATGCCAAGTTAAATGCAATGATACAGGTTATCGATTAATTGGTCCACGTATTCGTGAATGTTTAAGTATGGGTAGATGGACAGGTTATGAACAATTTTGTATTGGTAAATATCTTATTAAAAAATAGCAAAATTTATCATATTTTTTTTCTTTTTTAAGCCGGTCCAGAGACAACAACTCATTTATCTACAAGTTCAACATCAACTTATACTACAACAACGACTCCAAAATATCTTGGTAAATTTTAGATTGATTTTATACGATTAATATTTTTGATTTTCTAACAGATTACTCAAACTATGCATTAAAAATCAATAATAATGATACTGGAATCATTTTAACACCATTTAATTCATTTAAATTTACTATTATCTTTTGGTTCTATTTGGAAAATAATACAAAAACTAATTTAATCTCTTTAAAAGAAAGTAATGATCGTATTCTATTTGCAATAGTTATTCAACAAGGCAGGTACGATAATTTCTCTTCAAACTTTAATACATAATAATAATAATAAAAAATTATTATTATAAAACAGATTAGTTATTCATCATACACTTCGAAATCAAACAAAATCGACAATAACAACTTCAATAAATATTCCAATTGAAAAATGGAAACATTTTACATGGACATATTCAAATAAAAATCAACAATCAAATTTATATATTGATGGTGCACGTCAACAATCAATTGATTTGAGAGTAAATAGCCTCGATTTCGAAAGCAAGTAAGCCCAATGATAAGCCATGTATAAATGATCATTTCGACCTTTTTTTTTAACATCTAATTAGATGTGACAAAATTAATTCTATTTCATCAATTATTTAATGGTCTTATAACACGTATAGAAATTTGGAAAGAAATTATATCTGAACAACAATTACTTGTTAGTTATCGTGATTGTCGAAAACAAAATGGAGATATTTTTACTTGGTCACAAGTATCAAATCAAATATCAATTGATACAAGTAAATTAAAAAGTTCATCGTTTTGTTCAGGTAAGAAGAAAAAAAAACGTTTTTCTTTGAAAATATTATCAAGAAAAATATTAATTAGGTTGTTCGGAACCAGCATCAATTCAAGGTGGAATTTATCGTGTATCTGATTATGAAGTTGGTTCATCTGTTGAATATGAATGTGATTATGCTTATGAAATGATTGGTGCTAGTCGAGCATTTTGTATGGTACCATCAGAATGGTATCCATTACCACCGATTTGTAAATGTAAGAAGAAGAAAAACCAAGTTTTTTTTACTGTTTAATATAATTTATAATAGATAATCCATGTACAACTGATTGTGAATTATGCGACAAGAAAGTAGGTGTTTGCTTACGACAACTACAAACCATATTAGATCCACTTGTTTGTGATCCTCCTTGTGATGAAGATGAAGTATGTATTGATGGACAATGTACTTGGTCGAATATAGATATAGAAAAACATGGTGATCAATGCAATCCACCATGCCCATCTGAGACACAATGTATTAATCAACATTGTATACCATTTTCTACACCTCATTGTCCAGTAATTTGTCGACATGGACAAGTATGTGTTGATGGTCGTTGTGGTTGTTATAGAGGTTTGTTTAATAGATTTTTTTTGACGATTAATTACATTGTTTTTTATTAATTAGGATTATGTGAAAATGATCGACCATGTTATGAAATTTGTGAAATGGGAGAACGTTGTCGTAATCTATCTTGTAGTTGTGGTTCTCGAGGAAAATGTGGTAAAGGCGAAATTTGTCAATCAGATATATGTATGTGTGGTACAAAACGAGATGGTTGTCATCCACATGAACAATGTATTAATGGAAGATGTATTTGTAAAACAAGTTCATGTGATCAATGTAATAATTCATGTAAATCAAATGAAATATGTTTAGATGGAAAATGTGTATGTACAAATCAATGTCAAAATGGTAAGATTTAGTTTTTTAAAATAGTTAACAAAACACGTTTCTTTTTTCTAGCATTTTGTCCATTTCCTTGTTTACATGGAGGACGATGCACAGGTTTTTATCGATGTACTTGTCGTCAAGGTTGGCAAGGTCATCGATGTGAACGACGTAACTCTATTATCGAGAAATAATGTTCTTTTTTTTTTGTTTTGTTTTGTTTTTCATGATAAAAATAAAATAATAATAATATTCAAGGTCGATTAAAGGAAAAAAGAGAAAAATAATCATTGTTGTGTTAATTGCGGAATCGGAAAAAAATAGAAAAAAGAAAATTATATATAATAGTTATTTTTGATTTTTTCTTACAATCAAAAATGGATTTGAATATGAGTAATATAACTAATTCAAGTAGTCAAATAATACTATCGGAATCATTTTTAAATACAATGCGATTAGTGACAGATGCACTGACACCAATTTTACAATTATCAAGAATTGCTTTTAGTATAGTTACTTTTCTTCTTGTTCATTTTTCTCCACTTTATCGAACAACATCATTCGGTCTTCATATTCGTTGTCTAGCTGTTTACGATGGTTGTCGTATAATAGAAAGATTATTTTATTGGTTTCCACCATTATCATTCTTTATGCCAAAGTAAGAAAATTTCAATTAAAAAAGACATAAATATTAAAAAAATCAAATTTAGATATAAATATACTCGATGTAATTTTGCATTTTTTCTTCAAAATTATTTTTCTCATTTATCAATTGTTACAATTGTTCTTCTATCTATTGAACGTTGTATTATATTATGGTCACCATTTCGTGCAAGATATATCACAAGTATGCGTAATGCAATCATAGAAGAATTTATAAATATAATAACTATGTTAATTGTAACACATTTCTATTTAATACCAGATTATTTTGCATCAATGGATTTTTCAAGATGTTTTTATTCCAATGTATTTCACATCTATCATTATAAACTAATATTTAATTATAAATTATATGCTATAGCTGATATAATTTTATTTTCATTAATACCTTGTTCATTAACAACAATATCGATTATATTAATTATTATTGGACTTAAACGTCATAAACGACATCAAAAATATTTAAGATCAAATCAACTACAACAACCAACAACATCAATTTATGATACAAGTATTATACTTGTTGCTATTGCTGTATTACAAGTAACAACAACATTTCCATTACGTATGCTTTTATTATTAAATTTAATTACTCCAATTGAATTAAATTTTTATACAGCTTTATATTATTTATTATCATTTAATGAATTACTTGCTTCAACATTGAATTTTGTTGCATTTGTTTTACCATTTCAAAATAGTCGAACAGAATGTTTTAAAGTTTTCTTTGCATTCTGTTATTTACAACGACAACGAATATCAACTGCACCACGAATTGCAACTATTGATTCGGTCCCATAAAAACTTCTTTATTTTGTAAAAATCAATATAAGATTAAAAGAAAATTTCGAAAAAAAAAGAAAAAAATGTCAAGTTTTCTAATTATATCCAATGCTTGACTAAAATAAAATTTTTCACTTTGTTTTTGTTTATGATATTTCAAGTGCCCATGCTTCATAAGGACGAAAATCAAGCCAATCAGATTTTTTATCATGTTCATAATTGTTAATTAATACTCGTTTATGATTATTTAATCGTTGTAAAAGTTGAGGATCATCTATTTTAATAGATTCTGAACTAAAGTTACATGCAATAATTAATTCTTGACCTTCATCATTGTAACGTTTATACATAAATATATGTGTATTTTCTTCATGTAATATATCATATTTACCATTGACAATAATTGGCATTTGTCGACGTAATTCAACAAGTTTTTGATAATAATAAAATATTGATTGTGGATCATTTAATGCTTGTTCAACATTAATATCTGTATAATTTGGATTAACATTAATCCATGGTGTAACATTAACTGCGCCAGTACTAAAACCACCATGTGGTAATTGACCAGACCATTGAATTGGTGTACGAGCATTATCACGTGATTTAGCATAAATAGCAGACATGAGTTCTTCTGTGGATAAACCTTGAGCAATGGCATCACGATGAAAATTTGTTGTTTCAATATCACGATAATCAGCTAATGTTGGAAAACGAACATTTGTCATACCTAAATAAATTCATTACAGATAGATAAAATCAAAATAATCTACTTACCAATTTCTTCTCCTTGATAAATATAAGGTGTACCACAAAGAAAATGTAAACAAGTTCCAAGCATTTTTGCTGATAAAACTCTATATTGATCGGAATCATTTCCCCATCGTGAAACAATTCGAGGTTGATCATGATTATTCCAATATAAACTATTCCATCCTTTTTTATATAAACCTTTTTGCCATGATGTAAAAAAACGTTTTAATGCTCGTAAATCAAGTAATTTCGGTGTCCATTTACCACCATCTAAATCCATATGTTCAAATGTAAATATCATATTTACTTCATTTCGTTCTGGAGCACTAAATAATTCTGCATCATGTAAACGAGCACCTATTATAATTGATTAAATATAAATAAAATTTGCAAAAAACTATCTTTTATTTTACCTGGACATTCTCCAACTGTAACAACATTATAATGTCTTAAAACTTTTTCATTCATTTCTTGAAGATGTTCATGTACATGTGGTCCATTAATAAAATAGGGTGTACCATCGGTATATTGAGGATCATCAGTTGGTTTACCTTCAGGATAACCAGGTGCTTTCGAAATGAAATTAATAACATCCATTCGAAATCCATCAACACCTTTATCAAGCCAATAACGCATAATTTTATAAACTTCTTCACGTACTAATGGATTTTCCCAATTAAGATCCGGTTGTTTTTCTGTAAAGGTATGTAAATAATATTCACCAGTAATAATATCATATGTCTAAGAAAATCGAATAAGAATATTTAATTTAAAAACCAAGAAAAGTTTTATCATTTTACCCAACATGAACCACCAAAACAAGCACGCCATTTATTTGGTGGTTGTCCATCTTTACCAGATTGCCAATGATAAAAATTTCTATATGGATTATCTTTACTTTTTTTTGATTCAATAAACCATGGATGTTCATCACTTGTATGATTAACAACAAGATCCATAACTAATTTTAATTGACGTTTTTTCATTTCTTTTAATAAAAGATCAAAATCATCCATTGTACCAAATTCAGTCATTATTTTTGTATAATCACGTATATCATAACCATTATCATAATTAGGCGAATCATAAATCGGACTAAAATAAAGCTTATAAAATTTAAAAACAAAACAATCGCTTCGCTAACCTTAACCAGATAATATCAGCACCTAATTTTCTTAAATAATCAAGTTTCATTGTTATACCATGAATATCACCAATACCATCACCATTTGAATCATAGAATGAACGTGGATAAACTTGATAAACAACTGAATGATGCCACCAATCTTTATGATTTTTTTTATTTGCTTCTGTTGTCATTACAGAATTAGTTCGTGTAAATGATGAAAGAAATTTTGTTCTAGGAATAAATTGATTATAGAAAGAAAAGTTTGAAGTTAAAATAGAGCTGGAGTGAAATAATTTATTACACTTTTGCTTTGATAGTAAAGTGCAAATTCGCGAGACTACAAACATATTACTAAATCATACTGAACTCAATGAACTTTATGTACATATGAAAGAAAAAATTTTGTATTAATAATAATTGAAATAATATAATCCATATATGTTGAATTAATCAAATGTTTATCATTGGTAAGGTAATAAAGCAATTGAAATAGATGTCACTTGTTGATTGTACAGATCATGAAAAATTCAGATTTGGTTTTTTGAAGATAAGTCCGATTAATTTAAAGATTTATTTTAAAATATAAATTTCTGAAGAAAGTAAAGGAATATTAATTCTATATTTTGCCTCCTTTGAAAAGAAAAAACCTGATATTTCTTTGTAGAGAAATTATATCATATTCTTCACATCTATTGAGTTATGCTCGTTGATGATGTTTAATCAGGCGTAACTATCTGATATTTTTTTTTTCGTTCGCGTTCTTCCTTGAATATTCATGTTTTAACCGTATATCTTTTCTTTTTACCTTTTTTTCTTCATTCACCAACTAACCATGGCTACAACATTACCACCAGTCGCAACAACTCAATCTCCTTTCAATCCTTCTATAAGTCATCCAACTCAAATAATAATTAGTGAAAATCTTAAACAAGCTGCTCTCGATCATATTGCCTATTTAAAAGAATTCTATGATCATCCGGAATATCTTAAAAAACAATCACGTGAATATGCTGTCTATCGTTATGAAACATTTTGGTTACCATTTTTAGCTGAAACTATGGAATCAGATGTTATTCCACCACTTGATATCCTGTTTGTCTGGCATTCACATATGTTAGCACCAACAGCATATGCAAGTGATTGTGAACGTTTATTTGGACGTATTTTATCAAATCGTGTACGTCCACGTACACCACAACTTTTACAATTTAGTGAACAATTATGGATGAAAAAATATAATCGTACAATGCCATATGAATTAGATTATTCAAGTAATATTCAAGTTATACCACCATATACGAGTAAAATAAAATATGCTTTAAGTCAAGCTGTTGAAAGACAAGCAGATTTTTATTATAATGTTGCACTTGGCCATTATAAAGATTCCGAATTTCTTGATGAAGCGGTAAAACGTTATAAAAAATTTATCTATTTAAAACGTCTTAATCCACAATTATATGTTGTACCAATGTATGATATTGATATTATTTGGCATACACATCAATTATTTCCTGAAGCTTATCGTCGTGATATGATTGCAAATCTTCAACATGTTCTTCATCATGATGATACTGTACAAGATCGTACATCGAATTCAAAATTATCGACATCAGATCATGAAACTCGTCATAAATGGTTTGAATTGTATGGTGATCGTTTACCAAAAAATGGCTGTATGTATCGGGGAAAGACATCAAAAGATTTTTATCAATTTGTTACGGATTTTAATTTTCTCCTTGAATGTCAACGATATACAATGTATGTACAATTTCTTGATAATAAGTCTGCAGCAACAGGTGTTACAAGAAAAGACAATGATAATAGAGTTAGTACAATTGTATCTCTTCATGATCATTCAGTAGTTGGTGAACCATTACCGGATCAAATTTTCGCACAAATTAATTCATCTGAACAAGAACTTTTTGCTCGAGGTTCATCAGGATATATTGAAGCACATTTTGAAGCTGATTACACTGATTTAACAGCACAACTTTCACTTAAAATTCAACAAAAAGCTGGTTATTGGCCAATGAATTATTTTAGTACATTAGAAGAATTTGAAATACCAGCTGACAAACTTCTTCCTATTACTCAATTCAATCAACCTGTTAAAGCAAACAATAATGCAGGAGGTGAAGAGGAATCAGGTGGACTTTATTTTCTATTCAATAAACCTATTGATCAATATTCTGTTCTTCGACAAATGGTACCAACTGCGAAAAGGTATGATTTATTTCAATGGATACAAATATGCTTCCGAGTCATATATCTTAAAATGTATTAACTATGTTATTACATATAAGTTAAACTTAAAACTTCTAAATCAAGGAGTAGTCATTTTACTATGATTCTATTCGAATAGTGTGAAATAATCGATTTCGATAAGAACTTAAATTTTAAGAATTGAAAATCACTTTCTTTTTCTTTTAATAGATTGACAATTGGTATTTCAGCTATGGACATAAATACTGTAATTGTTCGATATGATGCATCTCAATATGAAGAAGCGACACTTGATACTAATTATTTAACACAATTGGGCACCTCATTTCTATTCAATCTTGAAAATGTTACAGTTAGACAGGCATTACATAGTATTCTACCAGTACATCAAGATCAACCGACTTTACTCAATATTCGTCATACAATTCTCAATGAGATCGATATATTTACAGCAACATTTAATAGTGCTATATTCGCATCATGTCATTCACTTAATTGGTCGCAGTTACCATTACCTAATCAAGTTTCTCCTAATCATGATAATTCTATAATAACATTTGAACCTGAAAAAGAAGAAGCACTTATTATTAAAGATCATAGTGGTGATTGGGGTATTGTTAAATTTAGTAAAGATCTTTTTACAGCGTCATTAGACGATAATGTAACAGATAAAAATCATCAATTTAGTTTATATCGTTTTATGCCTGATGGTCAAGTCGAAGAGGAAATTATTTATGTTGATTGGGAAGATGATAAATGGCTTATTGGTTCGAATAATTTTGGTATTGAAATGAATACATGGTCAATATCAGTTAAACGAATAGCAATAAAAAATTCTATGCAATATATTTGCTTAGGTGCAGCATTAATATCACGTTTTGATACATTATTTACACAAATATTTGGTAGAAATGATGATGAAACACATTTAACAACAGCAACAAATGGAAATTATAATGATAATGATTTATTAGCGAATGATATTGGAAAGATAAATTTGAATGGATCTACTGGTATTAATAATACTAGAAATACGTTATCAAATAAAACACCACAAATGGCTATGAATAATGTTTAAAAACAGCATGATTCAGACGGAAAAAAAACAAACGAACAGATTAACATATTTGATTAAAAAATAACATGAACAGTTATGTGTTTTTTTAACTAACTATAAAAGTATACTAACAAATTCTAATAAATTAAAAAATAAAAATAATCACGAACTGTATACTAAATGCATTTATTTACATAGGAAATAAAATTAGGCTATTGAGATAGATATTTTAGGTTGGGTGTGGGTGTGGGTGTTGGGTGAATACAGTATTCATAACCACCCCTCAAGAAGAAGACGATGGATCTCACTATATATGATATATGGGTGTGGGTGTGGAAAAGTATAGACGTCATCATAGAAATATAGAAACTTTGATTTGACATATTAGAATTACTTTGTCTTTATAATAAATTACTTAACAGTGAAATTTTTTTACCGATTAAATGTAGTTTTTTACTTTGATTTTAATTTATTAACTTAGCGAGAAATTCTATATTTACTTAGCGTCTAATTATTCTACTTAGATTTAAATTATTTGCTGAGCGAATATAAATTTTACTTAGCAAAAGTCTACTTAACATTCAAATAATTTAACTTAGCAAATAAATTGTAGCTTTTTTATAATATAGTATCGTGCATGACGCGAATTGTGATACGTGCTTCATAGAATGAATATTGAGTCTCTTTTTCATTCCATTTTGTTCTTGTACTGAAACGATATAGGGAACAACTTCTATACTACCAAGTAGTTTTGTTCAATGATACAATAAGATATCATGTTTCTTCATTAGAAATTTAATAATGCAAATAGTTTCACTTTCTTCTTTATTTACAGAATACCCTTACAGACTTTTTTTTCTCAATCGAACATGTAGTTCAAGCAGCCATTCGTTTTAATTTTTTATTTCCTTCATACCTAGAATTAGACAAAAGAATTAATTATTAATAAAATATTTCATTTATCTGTTAGTTAAAACAAAAGAATAAAGTTAATGCATCTCATGTAAAATAAGATGAAGTAAGATAAATATTTCTCACTTGCAACTAAAAACAAATTATCTTACAGTTTTAAATATTTATTCATTTCCTTCCTTCTAGAAATGCAATCCATATATAGCCATCGACATCTAAAATATATATTTATGACAACTGTTACTATTCTTATAATTATTACTATGGTTCGATATTTTCTTAATCATAGATCTACTATTAAAATAAGCTCAAGCTATTTACCATTGTGCCCCTATTCATTCACAATCAATAGTAGTTATATAGTTTATGATGATCCCTCGTATTATATTCATCATTATCCTGAATTTATATGTCCACAAAATTTTCGAAATCTAGCTGATTGGGTTTATGGCTGGCCTGAAGATAGATTTAACGAAGAACTTGAATGTCCTATAAGCGAAAAAAAGAAGTTAACTGTACCAAATCTTCCACATGGTAGTATTATCTATGTTAGAGTCTACAATATTTCATCTTTTTTCTCAAAGATATATCCATATTTAACGTATACGTTTGTACTAATCACTGGTGAAGGTGATTATTCAATGCCAAGTCGATTTCACCATTATCTCGAAGAACCTGATTCAAAAATTATTCATTGGTTCGGTCAAAATGGAGATATTGATGCAAAAAGAAGTGAACGCTTTACACATATACCAATTGGTAAGATTAATAGGTTTGATGTGACTAGAATTATAAAGAACCCCTTAAAAAAAAACTAAAAACTAAAAGTATATAACTTCTTAATAGACTCATTATTTCTTACAAATAATATAATCATTGCAACATCTTTCACATCTTCTATTTTCTAGGTATTAATTGTTTTGAAATGGCAGAAGGTATTCGAGATGTTCATCGACAATATCCAAAACATATTCTTCCATCTGTCCGCAAAAATAATCTTGATGAACCATGTCATTACACACAACCACTTGATGTTACACAAAGTGTGTTAACAAATAATATTCAATTAGACAAAATAGTTCTTATTAATTTTTATCCTAATAATGATCCAACTGGTGTACGAAAAAAACTATGGAAAGATTTGTGTAAACATAGACAAAGTTCATTTGCTATTTGTTATGACAAGCCTCATGGAGTGAATATTTCAAGCTTACCTACTATTTATAGACGAAATCGGCAGTATCCATTATGGTTATCTCCTCGTGGTGGTGGACTTGATTGTCATCGAACATGGGAAGCTTTGTATCTTGATATTATTCCTATTGTTTGGCATTCAACACTTGATTCATTATATACGAATCTACCAATTATTATTATCAAGAATTGGAGTGAAGTGAATGAAGAATTTCTTCGAAATAAACTTCATGAAATAGCAATGAAAAAAGCTCAACAACCATCTGTATATCAATATGAAAAACTAAGAAATGCTTATTGGCGTGAGATAATAATAAAAAAATCTCGATATGCTTTGAATAAAAAAGACATACAAAGAAATCGATGTTGGCGAGCTAAAACTATACGATCGGAATAAAATGTATCAAACAATATAAGTTATATTGAATAATTTCGTTCGATTTAATATTTTTTATTTATTGTAGAATATTTGTAATTTTGATTTGATTAGGTAAAATATAAATTATGCTATCGAATGATATAGTTTTTACTGTGGGTGTGGGTGTTAAGTGAATACAGTACCCATATCCACAGGCTCAAGATGGTTTTACTTCTACTCGTAAAAAGAGATTCTTGGTCAAGTTTTACATTTAAATATAATAAAGGATTCGACCTCTATTTGATATAAAAGAATCGAAAATTTAAATTAAATGCACGAATAAACTATTGATTGTCATCAGATCTAAATGCATAATCGGTCTATTTCTTATATGATTTGTATATCTTTTAGTCACTTTTGTGGCATATTAGAAACAGTAGATTTCTACGAGGTTCGATGCTCGACTTTCGCGGATACTGGTATCTATACCTGCTGTAATCTTCGAGTTTCGTCGAAAAGAAACACTATGCTTATATAGACATATATAACACATCGCTATTTTAAAAACATTCTTTCAGAGATTCTTGAAAGTAGGTCAAAGTTCGCAGAAAGAATACAAAGTTCAAGCTTGCCAATGCCTTTTTTAACGGTATACAACTATCTACTTTATTAGTATGTGCATTCGCGGAAAAATTTAATCATAAATTTTATTACGTGCGAAGAGAGCTTTTAAAAATTCTGCTGATAAATCTATTTTGCACTTGTTTTTGAGATAGTATAAGGGATTGAAATGAAAATACTTTAATAGATACTGAAAAGTTCTGTGCCATTGTTATTTGATAGATCTAATAAAATTAGTGCCGTTCGAAAAAATACATATCCATTTGGTTTGCAATATCTATCAAAAAAAAATGAACATACTGCCTCAGAGCAAGTAGAACAAAAAGAAAAGCCATTTCTGACATTTCTTTCTCGAAAATTTACTTCAATCTCTCATATACTATAATCTTACTTACACTGAAGTAAAGAACAGAATATATAATACAAGTACTTATTAGCAAATTTTACAGCATATTACGTAATTTCTTTCGTGGAAAGAAAACATCATTACAATATTATTATAAAATATAAAAATATTTACATTTACTTCAGTGTTGCATGCCAGTATGATTATAATAATGAATAGATACTCAAGGTTTCTTCTAAATAATAATGCACGCGTAGAAGTGACTTCGACGAAAGGTGCAATAGTAAGAACGAAAGAAAAGCATTCGCCGAAATTCTTTGTTTGTTCATGAATGATTATTTGCCTTTTACGCGTTCTCTCTCTCTATATATAAACGAAAAACAACATTTAAAGATACAAAACATAAGCATAATATTTTTAGAACAATTAGATGTACATTCAGCAGCATTTATTTTAAAAACATTATTTGATACAGTTTTTTTTCAAAATATCATGTCTACAGATAGCAAAGTTACTCGACGGGCAAGCAAAAGAACAGGTACCTTGTTTCTTTAGAGAATTTTAATGCTCTATATAGTAGTTTTTGTTAATAGCGTTAGGTTCTATAATAAAAACGAAACATGCGAACAATCAAGATCTTCAATGGGTAGGAGATATGGCAGATGATCATGATTTTGTAGCACCAAATGAAACAGTTCACGGCACGATCGGTCTATATTTCCATTTGATTACTAAACGCTTGATTCATGTTTCATTTTCGAATTTATACTATCAAAGGTATTTTTAGTGTATGATTTATTCTACTTAATTATATAAACATATTCTATTTCAGTCAAAAACAAAATTGGATGAATCTACTAGTCCGTGAGAGACGAAATTTGAAAGCAAATATTAATTCAGTAGAAAGATGTTTCATGTTCAATCGACTAATCGCAGAATGTGAAAAGGTATAATTTATATAGAAAAAAAACAGCAACTATTTTGATAATATACGAACGAAGAATAAAATGATCCAGAATAAGACAAAGATAAACATAATAGACACGTGTTAGTGCCTTTTTCAAACTAAATCAATTAAATAAAGTTCTACAGAAGTCTCTATGATAATATAGCGTAGGTTATAGTTCTCACTGATATTTTCTCGGCAATCAATAATACTTTGTTCTATCATATTATATATTCAATATAATTTTAAAGAGTCCAGATGAATTTACTCAATATATGACAAACGTGTACGAAGAGCTCAAGAAGCGTATGTCAAGCATAATAACACCATTTTCAGTATGACATACGAACCCTATGCAAAACTAAAACAAAACAGTACATTTTATCTTTATAGACAGCTGAGGATTTGTACAGCAAAATACAAACTTATCAGACTTTGCAGTGTCAACAACGATTATTTCATATGGATACTGACGAAACAAAGCAATGCCCTACTCTATTAGGTTTACAACGAGCGTAAATAAATTTAATATTGTTAATGATTATTTTTAAATACATCAATAATATTTCTAGTACAACTGAATTATTCACTAAATTTATCAATTCTTCTGAAGTTAAAAGCAACTATGTAAAAATCGAAGAGCGTATTTGTTGGAGAGAATTTTTACAGAAGTAAATTTGTAATAAAAACAATAAAAGTATTGATTTTGTATAAAATATAGTTCATTCGTAATTGTTGTTCAACCATCTACTCCAGAATGTGTTGCAGCTACGAAATATGAAAAATCTGAATCGACTTATAATGTAAAACTCAATTCACGCATCATTTGTTTATTGGATGCAGATAAAATTCAAGCTCATTTTACATTTTCAACTGTTGGTAAAAATTATTGTCCTGTTTATTTATTCAATCTTTGAATTCTAACTTATTATTTAGATGTTACACTCTATTCATTAGATCGTCATGATGGTGAACAAGGTGAAATACAACCGGTACTTGAATGGAAAACCAAAACAATTTTCGATGCAAAAGGTCAACCGAAATTAGTTTATTATGTTGAACTTCAATCTATCAGACTAACTAAACCAAATTCTCGAAGTGCACGTCCTTTATACAACTCAAAACTTTGTCGATTACAATTCCAAATGAAGATTACTGTAAATTTTCACTTATTAATCTACATTTCTTTCATTTATAAATAACTTTATGATTAGATTAACGATTTAAATATCGAAGAAACGTTAACATTTCTTTCACGACCATTTGGAGTTTGTTCGCATGCTCAATATTTTCCTGAATATGTTGCTAAAGTACTTATCTATGAAATACAACAGATACCACAACATGTATGAAATACATCTAAATTATCAATCTTAAATGTATGTCTGATTCTAGTTTGGTCATACAATTCCACCGGATATTATAACTGATTTTATCTGTCGATATCACACACGTATTACAGGTGTGGAACCAAAACTTCATACTAAACGTTATATTCTTCAACAATTACAAGCAATCTATGGTTGTTAAACATTTTAACCAATTAGATATCTAACAAAATAAATTTATATTTTAGAGTCGCAAAAAGATACTATAAATGTTCCATCAAATGACATCTATGAAGTAAGATACATATATTATGATCGTCTTTTTTTCAAAGTTTTTCTATTTAAAGGAAATCTTAGCTAAGCTAATAAGTCAAATCGAATTTTTTGTCGACCATCCATATCTTTCCATGATGTATGAGGACAGGTAACATGATACAATGAATTTTATATATCAAATTAGATTTTTAACGTAATCTATTTACAGTCTTTTTCTAGGTATATGTGATAATACAATTGATGAAGAAATAAATGGTACTTGGGAACAAATGTATATATTATTACGTTTCAATACACTTGAAGAACAGCAATCAACTCAGCAAGCATCAGTTCGATATATTGTACATAATGGTTAATATTTGTTTTTTTTGTTTGAAGAAGAAAAAAAAAGACTAGTGTACTTTAATCTAGTAGGTGAATTGGTAAAAGCAACTTTTCATTCAAAAGCATTCGTTGATGATATGTGTGGAATGATTTTTGAATCAAAATCAGAAAAAGCTAAAATATCTCGAATTGTATCCAATATACCAAATCGAAGTTTTTTCGATTTTAGTTTATATTTTGGTATGTAAAATCATGAGAAAAATATATAAAATAATTGTTTCATGTTCTATATAGACGACGAATTATATCGTCTAAGTTCAGATACATCTCCAATAAAACAAACTTATAAACCATTAATACCTGTACTTTGGTCTACAATGTAATTTAAAATTCTTTTGTTATCTCATTAATTTTATCTGATTATTTAGGAGATCAATTCCTGATAATCAATCCAAACAGTTGTCAAGTACGAATAGATTGTTCTTCTTTTTTGATCAACTAAATGAAATATACCATTATTTATGTTTATCTAGGTAATTCATCGTCAAATAAATATAAATTAGCTACAGTAAGTATTTAATTTATTATTTAATGGATCGTTGATAATAATCTATACTTTCTTTCAGTCACATGTCTCTTCTCTGGGCGAAATGCAAAGTAAAATTTATATTTTTTTTGTATTAAATTTCTAATATTATATACTTCCTATTCAGCTAGTCTATCCAATTTAAGTGTATTAACTAAGAATCCTAATGGCTTGAATAAGCAAGTAATCTTAGAAACAGATAAATTAATCAATTATTTGGCAGAAAAACTTCCTGAAATATCTGTGAAAATCGAACCCGATGAAACTCTATCGATTTCATCGAATGTAACAAATGAAAATGTGAAAAAACGAAAACTTATATTATCTAATTTGATACATGATTATATACAAACAATCTCTCCTGTTTAAGCATTTACATAAGTACGAAACAAAATTATATATATATCGTATTTCTTAACGTCAACAAATTCATCAAGACAATCCAGTACAGCATTAATTTAATCGTTACTTACCAGAATTAATTTTTGTTTTATTCTATTTATATTTATCAGTAATTTTGTAATTTTAATTCTAGTTGTATAATGATTTATTTCTACATAATAAATTTTATTGAAGATAAAAATAGACTAGTGTAACCTTTATTCTTTCATCGATAAATTTACAACATCTTATCAATATTTACCTTATGTTAAACTTCAAAATAAGTATAAAAAAGACTTTATATTATTTATTGACTTAACGATATACGTAGACATGTAATTCTTTTCGTTCATGATGGAAACAAAAGATAGTATTTCGAGGAAGGAGTCTGTTTAGATTTTCATCCAGAGTAAATTCGAAAACTTTCAATTCTTCATTAACAACAACTAATAGAAATAATTCTAAAAGCACTTCACAAAAAAAAATTTCAAAAACTCCCAGATAATTGCACATGTATAGTATATAATGCAATATACATATGAGAAAGAAGTGGGGTAGAAGAAAAGAATAAATTATAGAAATTTTACCTTCATATATGTTACATATACAGCAGAGAATAAAAATAATTGGCAATATACTTTTTTAAGTTCTTCTCATATAAGTATGACATATTAAGGCTTTTTGATGTTGTTATATTGCATAGACACTATACTCTATAACTACATTAATCATTAGAAATTCTGTCGTCGCTGTGAATTTATGCAAGACAATAACCGTACGTCTTTGGAAGCAATTAAAAAACTTGCAGGTTATACATGAGTTTTAGTACACTTCCCGTGTTAGAATCTTTTCGGTTCATTGATATCTGGGCGTTTTTCATTCGTATCAATTGATTAAATGATCTAGTAGTACAATTTAACTAGTTTGAGACTCGTGCTATCAAGCGCTCATATAGTAATTTCATGCAAATAGGGCTGGCGAGTCATTTTGTTAGTCTCACCATGGCACGAAGCTAGGCTCTTCGATCTTGAAAATTTTATTATAAGTATTGTAAGTAAGGGTCATCGTTATACAGTAGTTTTAAACTTCTTCCCATCGGTCATTACTTCAATAATGTAACATGATTTATTGGTCAGGTTATATGCAACTGGTGATTGAGTTATGAGTCATTCTTACAAAGCTACATGACAACTTTCGATCAACACTAGCCTCACTTAATTCATAAAGGTAGTACTTAACATTCACAAATAACTTCAGAAAAGTTGCTCGAAGAATGTACGAAACAGCCTTCAAAAAAGTCTATGTACCAAAAGGACAGTTTTTTTGCACACCACTGTATATTGTCTTATGCACTAATATTTAAAATTAACTTAAGATTTCCGTAATTTCTTCTTTTTCTTCTATCCTTCATATTTCTTACTTATACATAATATCGTAAATTATCTTATATAATAATATATGAGATTATCTCGAAATTTCTAAGTTTTGTGTGTTCTCTGCATGCTTGATATACGTCACTTGTACTTGATAAACTGTATCATAATCGGCAGTGATTGCGGGAGTCCCATAAAATTTTTTGAAACTTCTTCCGTTACTTCATGTGTTATCTATCTTGTATATATATAATGGTGTCTAGGAACGTCGCAAAGTTCGAAAGCTTCTTGTGTAATTAATGGTATTGACCTTTAGATATAGAGTTTTCGGAAAATGCGTTACAATTAATTGTTGTATGAACCGTTATGGTGGTGAGAAATTTCAGCATTTTCCAAAATTTCCATTTCGTGGAATTCTGAACACTTCTGATTCTAAACCATTCTGTATTGGCTATTCATAATCATTCATGACATTTAATCTACATATATCAATATCTTTATTTGAAACAATAACTTTTTCCATAAATTAGTTGACGGAATTCTTTTATTATTTGAACAAATGAAAATAAATTTTGTATGATCAATTTAAAGTTTTTATCGAGATATCGATTTCTTTCGAATATTTTTCATGACTTTCTCATGGCATTTGTATACTAGTCGAAAAATATGAATTCATGATTACAATAGTTTGCTGTACAAGTCTCTCTTTTTTTCTCATCGTATAAGTTATAACATAAATATGTGAATAGGTAAGCAGATCGGATATCCTGCGATAAAATTATAAAATTTACATAACTAATGCACCATTCTTCACAAACTCCATAGGCGATACTTAGTATTTTCATGAAGAAAGAATTGATCGGTTTGAATCTTGTTTTTACTGTATGCGATAGCGTCCGTTGTTTGCACAAATACCTTTGTCAACATTTAGTTAACAATCGATAAAATGTAGCATTTTTTAGTTGTGAAACTTTCTAGTCGACATAATTGCATATAAATCAAATAGAATTACCATTGTAAATATTTGACTTTTAGAATGAAAGACATGTATATACAAGATGACGTAAACTTCATATCATAAAATAATGTCATTTTCTTCTCTTGATATAAAACGAAAAAGAAAGATAAGTATCTTTATAAATCAACTGTATGAGATTCTATTTGCAGTGTTTTTATAATATAGACTCGTACGTGAGAAGGATTGGCGCACGTGCTTAATAGAATAAATATTGTGTCTCGTTTTCATTCCATTTTTTTTCTTGTCCTGCAACGATATAGAGAATGACTTCTATATTACACGGAGTAGTTTAGTTAAATGATACAATAAGATATCATATTTTTCCATTAGAAATCTAATAATGCAAATAGTTTCACTTTCTTCTTTATTTTCAAAACACGTGTACAGATTCTTTTTCTCTCAATTTAATATGTAGTTCAAGGAGCAATTTCTTTTAATTTTTTATTTCCTTCATACCTAGAATTAGACAAAAAAATTAATTATTAATAAAATATTTCATTTATCTGTTAGTTAAAACACAAGGATGAAGTTAATGCATCTCATGTAAAATAAGAAGAAGTAAGAAAAGTATCTTTCACTTGTAACTAAATACAAATTATCTTACTTTTTTAAATATTTATTCATTTCCTCTTGTTCTAGAAATGCAATCCATATATAGTCCTCGACGTCGAAAATACATATTTATATCAATTGTTTCTATTCTTATGATTATTACTATGGCTCGGTATTTTGTTAATCATATATTTCCTGTTGAAATAAGTCCATTTCATTCACCGTTGTGCCCCTATTCATTCAAAATTAATGGTAATCGTATAATTTATGATGATCCCTCGTATTATATCCATCATTATCCTGAATTTGTCTGTCCACAAAATTTTCGAAATTTAGCTGATTGGGTTTATGGTTGGCCTGAAAATAGATTTAACGAAAAAAGTGAATATCCCACAAGTGAAAACAAGTTAACTGTACCAAATCTTCCACATGGTAGTATTATTTATGTTAGAGTTTACAGTATTTCAGCTTTTTTCTCAAAGATATATCCATATTTAACGAATAAGTTTGTATTAATCACTGGTGAAGGTGATGATCCAATGCCAAGCCGATTTATTCGTTATCTCGAAGGATCTGATTCAAAAATTATTCATTGGTTTGGTCAGAATGGGGATATCGATGTAAAAAGAAGTGAACGCTTTACACATATACCAATTGGTAAGTATAGAATATACTAATAACCTCTCGAAATCTACTTTTTAACAAAGAATTTAATTATATTCATACAAACAAAAGCTGAATTTGGTTTATTGTATAGTGTAAATTTTACAATTTAAGCTATCATGTTGTTGATTTTATATCTTTGATGGATAAGAACTTTTTCACTATAAGATTATTATATTTGCATTTATGTAAGTTTTTATGATAGTTGGCATAAGAGTTCTCCATCATAACACAATCATTACAATATCTTTCATCTATTCCATTTTTATAGGTATTAATTGTTTTGAAATGGCAGAAGGCATTCGAGGTGTTCATCGACAATACCCAAAACATATTCTTCCATCTGTCAGCAATAATAATCTTGATGAACCATCTCATTATATACAACCACATGATATTACACAAAATGTGTTAACAAATAAAA